CATGATTAAAAGCTGCGTAGTATTGCAGGATATGGGTTGGTTAATTGCTCCTCTACTGTTGATTTTTTTTTAAATTCTGTGTACAAGGACAGTGCAGAAACCAGAATTGAACAATAAATGTTCGCACAAGTTTTTTATTACTATCTTAGAATAAGTTCCTACAAGTGAAATTGATGGGTCAGCAGACAAACGGGGTTTATTCACTTATAATTTGTTTTGTCATTTTCTTTCTAAAACTACAAGATGGGTTGACTAGTCTTTGGCTTCAGCAACGACAGGGTTTCCCTGGTAAAACATTTTCTCTGAGCAGCAAGACGTCGGTCGGCTCCTGAAGCGCATTAACATAGGAAGGAGTTCCGCCGTATCTGGGACACCTCCGCCCGAGGACCCCGTGCACGGCATGCGCATGCGCTGCAGGAGCCGCTCTCACCGCCTGGCCTGCCAGCAGCCACTGCGCGGCTTCGGCCCGGGCACACGCGACACGCTGCGCCGCACGCACAGCGCCTGAAGCACTCACGCCCGAGTACACGTGAGCTGCGCCTGAGAACAGAAGGCCGCGTGCGGAAGCAGAGATTCCTCTGCTAAGTCGTGTTTCCGCCCACGGCGACGTTATCTGGTAACGGGCTGCGCTCGGAGTCACCGCGGCCCCAGCGCGCACCAGAGAAGGGGCGCTGGGTGCCTGCGCCCCCTCTTCCTCGGCGCGCTTCGGCTGGAGAAGCTCGGCAGGTTGGTTCGTTGTGTTCGAGTAGCTTTTCGTCGCCTCTCAGAAGCAGACGTTAACGCCTGGCTGTGTTTGGCAAGCGGCTGAACTACATCCGCAGCGGGCGCAGCGCCCTGACTCCTTTCTGTGTAGCTTGTTCGTTACATGGAGCCGATGGGCATGTATCGCATGAGTTTAAACACTTGTGTCAAAGTAACCAGACCTTTCACACAGAGAGGTATGTAGCGCATGGATCGGCAGTTTTGTGATTTTTAAAAATTCACTGTTGAAGACTGTCCTCAGGTGTGTGTCACTGCAGTGTTAACGTGTCTGCTGACACACGTCATTGTGTTGTAACTTAACTCTGCATATCTCGTGAACATCTACAGCAGTGCCATTGATATATTCATTTATCTACTTTACATTTCCTTTTTTCAGTGAAATTTAAGGCAGCTCATAAAAACACGCAGAGTAATGAGAAATGAGCGAAACGGCGTGAGGGAAGTGGCAGGTGGCAGGGGAGGCCATCTCCCGGGGACGTGTGTCTGGGGCCCTGGCAGAGGCCAGGCCTGGGGGCGGCCGCGTCTGTTCCAACTGCGGCCGAGTGCCAGGTTCGAAATTACTTTTTCTGCGGTTTCCTGAACTGCTTAATCATACAGGCTCATTGAAGTCCAGAGTTATCATTAGTTTTTATAAATGGCTGCGGCCCAACAGTGTGAGAGAAAATGGAATCTCGGTAATGCATTCTGGACTTGGCTTTGGCAGGGACGGCGCAGACCAGAGCGTCTGGAAGAGAAGGGCTGAGCAGACGGAGTGTGTTTCGGTGACGCGGTCTGTGTCCCCAGGTGGAAGTCATCCTTTACCGTTCTCTTAGGCGGGGAAAATGGATTTGGGGGGAGGACAGAGTTCCCTTTGAGAACATAACTCCTGAAGGAAAGAAAGTTTTTATTTTTAAAAGAGCTATTACTTATAAAGATGAAAGGCGAGAAAAAATAGCTTCTTACAATAAAAACTCGGGGAAGGAAAATCAGATGCTTTTGAAGGTAACAACTTTAACCTGAATTACCTAGGCAGTGGGGTAGTCTCACTTAGTAAATGTTCTCATTAGTAGGATGATTCAGTATATTCTATACACAAATGAGTGTCTTAACATATATATGTATATATACATATACACGCACGCACATACGTGTCTCTCCAAGAAAATATGCTTGACATTGCACTGTGGTGCACAGAATTTATTTTTTCCTTTACAAGTGAGGATCTTGCCGCAAGGTTATAGTACATAAGAATGTGAGTAACTGCATTATAGAGGTATAGAGGAAAACATGTTTTTAAAGTAGGAAATAAAGAAACTCGACATATACGATGCAAGACCGGGTACTCTCATGTACCTGCTACTGAGCGAGCCTGTCTGGTCTGCACCGCGGGTGGTTGCCAGGCGGTTCGGTGGGCCTTCGGGGGTGTGGGTGTGTCTCAGTTCTCATTCACAAGCACCAGCTTGGGAGTCTGGTGCCACTCGGCAGGCCGCTCCCGGGCCATCCCGCCTTTTCCCCGTGGTGTTCTGCGTCTGCGATGACGCCATGATGTTATCCTCAGTCAAGGCACAGAGCAAGTCCCTCGTAGGCACATCTGAAGGAGGTAATGCAGCCACAGGGCCCTGGACTTGGCGACCAGGAGGTCTGATGGCAGGTACAAATGTGGGCACTCGTTCACTCTCGTACACGGTCGTGATCATCGTCACTCAGTGAGTCTTTCGGGAGTGTTCTCCATGCGCTGCACATACCAAGGCCCCCATCCTTGCCCTCACGGAGTTCCCAGACTTAAGACGGGTGTGTGAACAAGTAGGTGGGATAAATTTTTGGTGGTGGAGCAAGGGACCTGGTAGGAGACCACTCTGGTCTGAATGAGATGGGAAGGTAAGCGGTGGCCGTCGGGGTGGACTCAGAACAAAAGGAAGGCCACTGTGCTGAAGAGGGGGGTCCTGAGGCCGAGCGGGGGATCTCGGGTGGCTCCCAGACTCCTGGCCTGGACAGCGTGGTTGAAGGTGGTGGTGTTCATGGGGAGGGGTCACTGAGGAGGGGGATTTGGGGGGAATGTAATGGGATTAGTTTGGACGAGTCGAGTTAGAGGGTCCTGACGGATGACCGGGTAATGCTGGTGAGGCAAGTGTGCATTTTAGCTTGGGACGCAGGAAGAGGACTGGCTGCATTTAAGGATCAAGGAGTCACCAGGAGGGACGTGACTGGCAGAGGGTAAGATCGCCCAGGGAGAGCCAGTGCTGGGCAGCTGGCGCAGAGGGCTCCTGGAGTAAGGGAGCGGTCACTCAGCGGGCCAAATGTCAAAGAGAAGTCCAAGTTCACAAGCCAGATGCTTAACGAGTCCTCACAGGTGAACGATTTTTATGAAGGGCATGCCCTGTGAGTTCTCCCACAGCTCGTTTCGTGAGCCTGACCCACAAGTAGTCGGGTTGAATTCTGCAGTTCTTTTCCGGGTCCTGTCATAGGTTCTAGAAAGGAGCCTTAGACTTTCAGAAAGTAGCCTTTACCCCTCTTCTCTGTTTTCCTTTCCTGCTTCCGGTTCCTCCCAGTGTTTCATTATCCTGTCGTGGTCATGAATTAGTCTGACATCGCGTATCTCCCTGGATTGTAAAATCGCAAGGGCCATGGTCACTGACTCCAAGTCGCACACAGACGGGAAAAGCCATTTGAGCGTCAGCTTTGGTCAGATGTTTTCGAGGCTCCGGAGGAGGCAGGGGGAGGACGTAGTGTACTTGCTGGTGTCACAGGACCCGTCGTGGGGAGTGCCAGCGATGGCCAGAAACACAACTGCTGTTCGGAGGCCCGTGGCCGCTCCGTCGGCCTTTCATGTCCATTTCTGTCGAGGGCTCCGTCTGGCCTACGAGGCTCGGGCGGTGGCTGCCCCGCCATCTCCTGTTTTGTTTCACAGGGGTCTCTGGGGTTTTGTTCGGGGGCCTTGGGGCTGGAGCAGTGCCAACTCCTCTTCCACTGACTCACCCACTCGTCTGTGTCCTTGGAGTTTGGTTGCCCTGTGGTTTCAGGAGGATTTTGTCCTTGCCCTTAGCATTTTCCCCAGATCAGACTAATGACCAGTGTGATTATCCGCCCTGAGCCACTCATTTTCCAAATGTGTCCACCAGCCGGTCACAAGGTCGTCTTTCCTAAAAGGTCTGTGACCGGCACGTTTCATGAATCTCTCCCCAGCACAATTCCTTTCTTACATAGAGGGCCATTTCTATCCCTTCACACCTCTCCATACTGTGGAGAAGTGAAACAGAAGGGCTTTCTGTGGAAACGGTTTGATTTCTTTGTCTAGATATGCAGGGTTAGGCACAAGTAGCGCTGCTTTTTTTTATTACAAACTTTTTATTACAGAATCATAAGCATGTAGTTCTGTAACATAACAGCATCACACTCAAGCACCCGTATAACATTTTAGGTGAGACGTCCAAAGGAAAACTATAAATCCTCACACCCATATCATTGCCCGACCAGCCTCACTTCTGCCGGACTCTGTATTTGCTCAGTCTGACAGACCCGTCATTCAGTCAACAACAATATTCTTTTTAATGCCTGTAGCAGCAGCACAATGACATAAACTTTCTCTTCCTCGTGTTCAGCATTTTGGTAATGACTGTTCTACTTAGTGCATTTTCCCACTCCTTAGCTTTAGAGGTCAATGTCTAGGCCAGACTCCCTCCTGCTGCAGGGTCACCCGAATGGGCCCTTCAGGGCTTGTGACAAGCTAGCTGGGTAATGACCAAGCAGGCAAGGTGGCAGTGGGGTGTGCGTGCACCCCACAATTTTATGAGTTATTTGTAACCATTTCCCCTAAATGTGAGCTAGTACCAAACTGACACAACGGTAAAAATTTTTTTTTAAAAAACACTTTTAAAATCGGTGCCATTGAACTAGTTCATTTTAAATCAAGTTGTTAGACCTCTGCCGTCTTTATAAAACACAAACCCTTCACAGCCACAGACTGGCCGCACCCATGCGGTCCCCAGGATCCGCTGACAGCGATGCAGTGACTGTGCTCTCTCGAGTAGATTATGGTGGACTTGACCTTGGGCCACAGAAAGAGCCTTAGAGGTGACATGAACATGTCCGTAGAATCTTTCACACACGCATGCCATTTCCAGGAAAACTCAGTGAGCTTGCCGTGTGCATTTGCTCGTGTGTTTCATAAACAAGTAGTTCCAGTGCGCCACACCGCTGGCCGTTTCCTGCCCGACACCGTGTGGCTGACTCGAGTCTCTCCGTGGATGTGTCTTTTACAGGAAATCGCCCGGCACCTGCGTCCCGGGACCCTCAGAGCGACCTTCGGGAAAACTAAGGTCCAGAATGCCGTTCACTGCACTGACCTCCCCGAGGACGGGCTGTTAGAGGTGAGGCGTGGACATCCATGTTCATGTGTCGAGGTCGTGCGTGACCTCGGCAGTTCTGACAGGGGAGAGCCCTCGCAGTGCTGTCGGGCACCCTGCGCCTCGGCCGTCTGCCAACCTCAGGCTGCAGCTTAGAGACCAGACAGCGCGGGTTGCTGTTTATGACAAGACAGCCTTCGGAGAATTAAGGTATTTTTCTGATTGGCATATGTTATGGTTTAAAAGTAACTTAAAAAGGAAAAGACTGTAGCGTCAATTAAATAATGGGAAATGTGTTTTAAAGTCAGATAAAAGATGTGATTGCCGTAAGTTGCTAGTCATGCAGAGGTGTCAGTGAAACTCAGAGGTCTGGTTGCTCTGCAGTGTGACAGGTTGAGGCCCACGGCTACCACTTGCTGGCTCTTCACACACCAGGCTCCACCGCGGTAGCTGCCTCGTGTGAATTACTCCGTGTGATCTCCACGGCGGCTCTAACCGGGGGTCATTGTATCTGTTTTCCCAGGGAATCGAGACTAAGGCAAAGTGACATCCTCAAATCAAACAGTTCCTGTGGGACAGCCATGTTTTGACCTCTCACCTGTTTGATTAACATAAAACACGAAACAGTGAAAGAATTAGGAGAAAAGATAAGTGAAAACTGATCTGGCTTGGTGTTGAGAAAGTCATTTCTAGGCCAAAGCGAAGAAACTTTAGAGAAAGGGTTGATATTTTTTTCTTACAGCTTTTAAAATTTTTCTGTGTCAGAAGGAACTAATGGGATGAAAAGACAAAAGACAAATTGAAGAGATTATAGTGTAAAGACAAAAAAGTGATTGCTACCCATCATACATCTTTACTTTGGTATTATTTGTTTCACCAAATGTATCAGCCTTACTTTAGTTCTGCCTCTGAAACCGTGTGGGGAGGAGAAAAGCCGCCCCCACTTGGTTTTCGTTATCTTGCCCCGAGGTGCTGGGCACACCTGGAACTCGCTGTGACCCGCGTGCGGCGTGGGCCTCCTCGCAGCCCCGCCCGCGCTCAGGCCCTGCTGATGAAGCCCCTCCTTCCTGTCCCTGGTGTTGCCCATGTGTGGAGTGCCCGGGCCCGCCGGCGCCCGCCCCTGAACTTTCCATCTTGTTCCACGGGTCTGTGCCAGAAAAACACCATTTTAACGGCCGTAGCTTATTTATCCTGTAGGAGAGCGTTTTGGGTTATTCTCTTAAAGTTATCCCTGCAGGTAGACTTTACATGAGTTTGTCAGGTTCTCTGCCCCACCCCCACAGAATGCGGCTGGGACCCTAACGTTGCGCCGTGTTTGTGAATTAATGTGGTGGCGACATGTCGATCGTAGCGGGCTCTTCAACTGCGTAGACGGCAGGCTTCGCCTTTTCTGCCCATAGAGTCTTCTGTCTTCACAAGGGTCTTGGTCACAGCCTATCAGGTGGATTTCCACCAGCTTACGTTCTTGTTGCTCTAGAGAATGACTTCATTGGCTCCACTTTGATTTTCTCCTAAAATCCGCAATGTGAACTTGCTGGAATTGTATCTCAGCCGTGTGCCCTGGCACGAAATACTGTCCTCCTTGTGAAATGAACAACGTCACACACTTTACCTTTTGATCACCAAAGGGTCAGATGTTCATTTAAAATTGTCACCTGTTGTATAAGTTTTCCCTTCGCCTCTGACAGCTCAGGACCTACTGTCTGGGTTTGGAACCGAGGGTGAGTGGGGCTCCTGGGAACTGAAATACTACCGGTCGGGAAACTTGCGCCCATTAAAAATGTGACCCGAGGTGTGCCTGTGACTTTGCTCATACAATTTAAAATTTTATTACTGCTGCTTGCAGTTTCCAAAGCCATTTATTGAATGATTAAAATCTTTCTCATGTAACTGCACAGGAGATCTAATTGCAAAGTAATGGCTGTGTGGGTTACAGAATTAATTAAAAAAAATAGAAGTTGGTGTTCTGACAGCCTCCTCCCCTGTGGCTGATGGTTTGTACTTGACGTGACCTTGCCTGAGTCGCTTTTCCTTTCCTTGCCTCGCCCCTCTTATCAATAGAATGGCACCAAGAATTTTCATGTACTATAACCAAGAACTCTTCTCTTAGTTAATGATTAATTATTTGCAGATCACTCGGATTAAACAGTCAAATATTATAAAAACACTTAGAGGCCAGAAGAGTTATTTGCTCATAGGTCTTCGGAGTGAAAGTCAAAGGGGCATGGAGACAAGCTTTCCGGTCAGGAAGCATGTCGTGCTTTAGTCCACTAGTCCTCAAGGGAACACTCCCAGTGCCAGGTGACCATGCATTGCATTGCCCCATCCGGGGCCTCCCCAAGGCAGGGTCAGGGGCAGATGCTGGAACTGTGCTGCGCACGGCAAGAAGGGAGGGGGAGGAAGTGCTCCTCCGGACACGTTCCCCTTGTGACGCTCACTGAGCTGAGCTTGCATCCGGTGTCCAGCAGTACGGCTTCAGTGTCTGTTTTGTCGTCACCCATGAGTGTTTCCAGTACGCGTGTAGCAACCCTGACGGGGACAGTGCTTTCCTCACCGACATTGCGACAGGGTTTCATAACCAACCAAACATCTCCCCTGCTCTCACTGAGCCCGGACTAAGTTGTAGGGGTGAAGGATCTTAGCAGCACCTCAGAAGTGTGATTCCCTTGGATGTCACCAACTGTGGGACACTGTTGTGGGGATGGGGACAAGTGGCAGCAACCAGAGCATGAGACCTGCCAGGGTTCCAGGGTGTTACTCACTGGCGGTCTTCCCTGATGCTCTGTGGGTGGTTGCTATCAAGATCTTATATTTCTACTTAAAGAATGCATTTGCGGAAACTTGTTTAGTTTAACTAGTAGTAAAAGAAATACTAGTTTTCTGCACGTATCAGTGCCCACGTTGGGTAAGGCCGCAGTAAAACAGGTGTCCTCGGGTGGCTGGTGCCAGCTGAGTGGTGACAGGTATTGGAAGCCAGGGGTTATTCCATCCAACTGTCCCAGAATTCTACTTCCCAGACTCTAACTGGAGAGGAGGAGGGTGGTGGGACTCACAGGGGACAGGTGCCAGCAGCCAGCTATCTGTCCACTGATTACAACCTGGTCACCAATCACCAGTTCACTTTTGGGGTAGTAACTGCCCAGGAGACATTTGACTTGCTCTTTCACTCTTAAATGTGTTCATCTTAGCCATCTTCTTCTTGAGCACAAAAGTATTTGTTGTGGGCTTAAAATAAATAAGTAATAATTGAACGAAGACGGTTAAGAATCATGAAGGCACCCAAAGCCATAAACTAGAAAAAAGTCAAGACTGACTCATCCCAGAACTGTATCATTTATAATTAATAAACGTGCTCACTAAGGCTCTCATTTCCAGTAATCCTGGAGTTTCCGAAGGAGCTTCCAGGACAGCCTTGGCATGGCACTAACCACGCACACAGGCATCTCGCAAAGGAGCGAGGCGCCAAGCCCAGCACGGGGGGCACCGGGCTCTGTTCCCCGTCTTGGGTAAGGAGCCAGGTGCCCGTTTTGACCCGAGACTCTGTCACTCTTCACCCAGCACTTCCAACGGTGCGTCCACGTCCGACCTCCCAGGGCGATCCGGTCCCTTCGTTTTGCCGACTCTGAAAAAGTGAGGACACTGTGCTTCGCTCCTTGCAGTTCGACCCCAAACCCTGTCTTTGGTCTGCACACCGCTTCATTCTCCAGCCGGTGGCGAGCACCCCGAGTTAATCAGTAACTCTCGGGCCCACCCTCTTCATTCGTAAAACATTTCTGCTGCACCTCCGAGGGTGGTTACTTTGCTGGTGGTCTTCACTGGTGACAGGTATTGGAAGCTGCACCTGCTCCGTTCTGTTAGAGTCCAGGATGCTGAGCCCACTGCTGTGCTCTGCCCACTCACTAGGCAGGTGGGGACGTTTCTGTTCCAACGTGAGAGAAAGCAGCCGAGTGTCCAACAGGAGGGAGGTGGCAGGCCCAGCGTTTTGGGAACAAACCCACTAAGGAGGTTTGGCAGGTTAGGCGAAGCCTTTAAAGACACTTGATAGGACTCCAGTCCTCACACGTCAGATACCTCCACTGCCACGTGATTTTGTGTGAGCACTTTTCTGTGAGGCGGCCGTGAGCAGTTGCGGTGCCAGCGGCCATTTCCTGTCCCTCTGTAGGTGAGCGCGGCTTTAGCCGCGCAGGCGGCTGCTGGACGACCGGCACCTTGCAAGCATCCCACCCACGGAGTGCACACGGTCTTTGCTTGGTGCAGGATGAATGGAGTGCAGACTGCTCCGGTGCCGTCCTCAAACCCTGCACGGGACAGACATTTCCTTGACACAGGCAGGAGCCCGACGCAGCCGTTTGCGGCCAAGTGTACGGGACAGCCCTGCTGTGAGACGGGTTCTATTGACTCCTTTGTGTCACCTGCCTGTGGCTCTCGCCTTGTCATGCGTGTGTCTGGGAGGAGGGTTGACGAGCTTCAGGGGCACTTACCATGCTCTAGGCGTGGTTGCCAGTGTGTCACATGCTGTCACATGTGTGGCTCTCAGTGAAGTGGATGCCGTCACCCCCCCTTGTGGGTGAGCACCCCCAACTTCACACAGCAGGACACAGCGGGACGGGGCCCAGCATCCAGCATTCACACTCGTTGACCGCACGCTTCCTCTATAGTCTGGTCTGAACAGTGGCGACCGCCGTCCCCCAGAGCCTGTGACAGCACAGTGAGTGAGGGCCGCAGCCAGGCTCGGGGGAACCCTGCCGAGTGTCGAGCTGGAACGTTTGGCCTCTCTCAGGAGTAATTAGGGTGATTGGATATTTACTCATATTTTGTCCTTATTAACTTCTTTTTTTCCCCCATGAACCTGTCCCCCTCAGTTTAGATGAAAAACGTACAATTATTCAGAACTCTCTCAGGCAGCAGGGCCACGGCTGTCCCCTCAGTGACCACCACCGATGGGCACGCTCGTTTGCTCACTGGGTGCAGAGTGCCCGTGTGGGCGGCCGTGATCAGGGCCGCGCCCGGAGTCCTGCCCCCCA